TGATATCCATCAGGATTCATTTGAAGAAAATGATATCTATCAGGATTCGTTTGAAGAAAATGATATCTATCAGGATCTATTTGAAGAAAATAATATCTATCAGAATCCATTTGAAGATAATCATATCCATAGTCATGATTTCTCAAATGAAGAACTAGATCCACGTTATTTTTTAGCAGAAGAAGACTATTATTCTGAAGAATCCTCCAATTCAGAATATTTAAGATCTGTAAATGAAAATAGTCCTGATTTTACTAATAAAATACCAAATATGAAAATCATTGAAATTAGTGATTCCGAACAAGATATTACTATTCATAAGAAAGGAAAACAGTGAGCCTACTCTATCAAACCACAAGAAAATGAAGTATATTTGTATACTAGAATTGATATATTCTGTTCATATTTGTTTTGACTTTTTTTTGCAGAGATTACCACTACGCATTATTACGAATTTAGCTCAACCTTCTTTTAAAAAACATGAGAAAATTCGACAAACTGCAATTTTAAACGTTAAAAAAAATAGAGAATTTATCAGAAGCACTATGGAAATAAAGCACAAGACCAAGTGAAGCCATACATTGGAATCTGGTAAATTCGTAAAGATTTGAATTCCTGAAATCGATAAAGTGAAGATGGACCAAAAATCATTACTCTGCAAAGTTATTCAAAAAAAGCCAAATCAAGATTCCTATTAGGTTGCTTGCAAGTTCAGGGTGCTAGAAAATTAGTATCTGGCATGTGAGCTCATACTATTAGGCACATCCGATTACCCTGAACTTGACATTGTTCTGCTAAATAATACAATCTCATTATGGCAAGCAGGCACCAAACAAAACTATACATGCCCAACTCAATCTTCAAGGTAAAGTTTTATTTTATTATTTATTTATTCACTTTTTTTTTACTTTTTAATAATCAAAATTTTATTTGCTAGTAATGATTTAATGTATTCAGCACCTAAAAAAACTCGTGATTGCTGCCATTGTAAAAAGACAAATTGCAACACAAAAGCATGTTCATGCAGAAGAAATGGTTCATTATGTTCAAGGCGATGTGGATGCATTTTACACAATGAATGCAAAAATCGCCAATTTTCAAATAATAATAATGCGACAATTTTTCTATAGCAAAGAAACATTTAATTTTCACTTAAATATAATCGTTTATATATATATTTTTTTAAGAGTTGTATTTGTTTTTCTTTTAGTACTTAAGTTTAGCATTTAGTGTTTGCATTAAGAATTTGTTTTACATTTATAATTAATAAACATATCATTTAAAAATTAATATATATTTGTTAGTTGGTAGAACTCATACCAATTCCAAAATGATGTCTGTTATTCATTGATTTAAAAATAACACATGTAGATTCTGAATAGACAGGAATCAATAAACTATGTACAATATATATACTTTTTTGTAAACTATAGTATAGTTTACAAAAGTTTATATAAGAGTTTAGATTTCATTGCTTATTGATTAAGCTTCTAAATCTATATAGACAAAGCAATAGTTCAAGTTAGATACAAAAAGTTTATATAAGAGTTTGGGTCTCATAGCTTATTGGTTAAGCTTCTAAACTTATTTAAACAAAATTAATAGTTCAAGTTGAGCTAGTAACAAATTTTTAAATTTGTTATTATAACTTTTATAGATCTATAATTAAATGCAAACCTTGTAAAAAAGTCTAAGTGCAAGTATAGTTTTGAAATATAAATTTGTAAAAAAAGATCTAATCATAAAGTGAAGTACTATATATGTCATAAGTAGAAATAAAATTTATGTTGATTCAGAATTTTTGAAGTTAGTGTTAGAATTTTTAGTATAATTATTCCATTCTAATCTAAGTGGATTCCAAACTCTATTATTATTTTATTTCTATTTACAACATATATGTCGTAGGTGGAAATAGAATTTATGTTAATTCAGAATTTTTGAAGTTAGAGTTAGAATTTTTAGTACAATTATTCTGTTCTAATCTAAGTGGATTCTGAACTTTATTATCATTTCATTCTCATTTACAATATATATAACAGCGAAGTTACAAAAGATCTAAGTAGAAAAAATTATATAAATAAACTTTAAGAGATAAAGTAGCACTAATATTTCTTCACCTCTGCTTAAGATAGCACCAATATTTTTACATTTAACTTATAGGATATTTGAGGATCCTAAGTAATATATAGATAGGTTAGATCTAAGCTTGCTTATTTTTATATCAAATTTGCTTCAAAAATGCTTATTTTTAACTAAAATTTAAAAAATTTACTATATAAAATTATAATGTTTATTAATTTTTTTAAAAATTTTTTTTTTTAAATAACTTCTAATCTATTTATATATACTCAGAGTCCTAGTATTTGCTTAAAAAGTAATTACCAAATTATATATATAAGTTTTAATTTACAGGGGGGTGACAAAACTTTTTACACACCTAAGAACTTGGCTTATAACTCAAAAACCTATTAATTAATTTATGTTCTTGATTTGTCTATATGAATCTTTATCACTTGATGATTATGTTATATCATTTTTAGATCACATACTTCATAATTAGCAAGTTACTCTATTCTTTTATTTTCCTGAATTTTTACTAATGCATATAGCAAACCTCCATACTATTATATTGGCACTGCCAAAGAATTTTTAACTACAAAAGCATATCATCTGAAAAGTGGACAGAATTTTCTAACAACCTTACTGACAACCTTAACTCACACCGCACTCCTCTCAGTATTGATTCAAATGAAAGTCTTGAAACCACTTGGCACAAAATTGAATACTCAATTATTAATATAGCAATACATACAATACCTAACAAAACAACTAGAAAATGTAGTTATAATTATCAGTACACACCTCACTGTACTTCACTCTATCTATTACTTAAAGAACTCGGCCACATAATCAAAATTGTTAAAAACAATAATAATAGCATAGACACTAACCTTATCAATTCCAAAATTCACAATATCAACTCAAGGTCTCACTGTGATCTTCAAGTATTTAGATTTCTTACTATATTTCAAGATCAACAGTTCATTTTTTTACTGATAATTTACCTTCTAATTCTTTTTTGAACACATCTCAATCTTTTTCTTTTACTACTATTAGCTTCAAGATAAATTCTTGGTATATATATTGGATCGAATACCAATTTAATCTTTCTCATATTATTACTAATACTCAAATCTAGATGAGCCTTGGCCATTCCAGTTAGTTTAGGTCACAGATAAACTAGTCTGAGCTTCTATTCTTCTTATAATATTTTAAAAGTAAATTAGTGCTTTATGTAATAATCTCAATTAAATATTCAATAAAGATAGAAGCATGGCCTCACAATTTAGAGCTAATTGCAGAATTTTTTAACATATATTGAAGGTAATTAAGCAAAGAAAAATAATAAACTTTTGTTGAATTTTTGACTGTAGACGGCATATTTCGAGTATTAATTTGAA